TGGCTGAGTAAAAAGCTTAGTAAAATGAAATTTTAATTATTTTACAATTTTAAAATTTTACGTTTGTCCCAAGCATGGTTAAACCCAGTTAAGTGATGGTTAACTCCAGAGGTGGGATCCACATCGGGGGTGGGTTCTACTTACCTTTACTACCGGTTCGCAACGAGATGGCACTCGCTCGCTTCACTCATGTGCATGCACAGATTGCTTATGACGACATCCGGGTTGGTGGGCGGAGCCTCCCGCCAGTTTTACTACCGGTTCTTGCGAACCGGTCCAAACCAGGAGCAACCCACCACTGATCCACATAATTTACCGACCAGTTTGCCCAGCACCAAAAATGTGCACAAATGCTAGCTTCGCTCACATGCGCCACCTCCGTGCATGCGCCCAGCCTTTCGTGCATGTGCTTTGCTCGCGCGCACACTTTCCACGCACGCGCCTGGCCTCAAAAACATGCCTAAATAGGACAGCATAGAGCCGCGGAGGGATAGGCGGCCCGACCCACGATTTCTGCTACCGGTGCGGGCGAACCGGTCCGAACCGGCTGAATACACACCTCTGGTTAACTCGCTATCTCTGCTGGAACTTGCTTCCAAGCTTCCACTACGAATTGTCCTCGACTTACAACTAACAAACCGGGAATTTCAGAACTGAAGAAGCTTCTACACCAGAAGCAAAAAAAAAGGCTTCAAGGAAAAAAATCAAGAAAATCCAGTTATTTTTGCGGAGGAAAAAAAGGACCTGGAGGATTGAGAATCTCCATGGACTAAAATGAAAGACGAACGAGTAAGTAGAAATATTTATTGTTCCCCACAGCAAGGACAAGCAGAGATGGTTAAATGGATTCTTTTATTCAAAGAAGAGAATGTATGTAATTTTGTTTTCTATTAGGAAGTCGCTTCCGGGTTGTCCAAGCACCTGGTCTACCCCAATATGTGGGGGGGAGCATACTGCTTCCCTTTCGCCTTTCAACTCCAAGCAATAAAAGGAGACTACTATAGATCTATTTCAAGCTATTTAGCTCTCATCAGCTAGCCAAACCCTTCCTCGGATATTATTTCGCCCAAGTTCGAATCCGAGGAAGGGTATGGCTAGCCGATGAGAGCTAAATAGCTTGAAATAGATCTATACTAGCCTCCCTTTATTTCTGTATCAGCAAATATAAATTTGGTATGTGTGTATGTGTGTATATATATATATATATGTTTTTCTTCTAGCCAGGTTTTCCCTACGTAGCCAAGGTTTTTTTGTAGCTCCAGCTCAGTAGAATCACATCTACTCAGTTCTGGGCTTTTTTCCTTTCTAACACCTAGCAAGCTCTTCCTGCTAGGTGGGAGACCTAAATAGATCCATTTCTAGCTCGTTAGCTGTCATCAGTAGGCCACACCCATATCTTATGTATCCTCCCTGTAAAGGTACAGTATCAATTTTCTTACTTCTTCGTAGGGTTTATGTGTGTTTTTCTTCTAGCCAGGTTTTCCCTACGTAACCAAGGTTTTTCTGCAGCACCAGCTCAGTAGAATCACATCTACTCGGTTCTGGGCTTTTTTCCTATATATATGCGGAAGGCGCGCGAGCGAGCAAAGCGCATACATGAAGGGTGGGTGCATGCGCAAATGGCGCCCGTGTGTGCGAAGCGAGTGTGCGCGCAGGCGGGCAGCGAACCGGTGGTAAAAGTAAGTGAAACCCACCCTTGGGCTAGTGTATATTATATGTGTAAAAGTAAAACGTTAAGGTTGTACAGGCCTTCCTCGCCTTACGACAACGATCAAGCACCCCAACGTTCTGTCGTTAAGCGGGGACACGTGTTCAGCGAGCTTGGCCCTGTTTTACGAGCCATTCGGTGGTTCAGCAAATTGCGGCGGCGGTTCAGTTTTGTAACCCCGTCATTAAGTGAATCCGGCTTCCCCGTTCTGACTTTGCTCGTCAGACGGTCACAAAAGGGGATCGCCCTCCCACCCCGGGGATGCCGCAAACCGTCATAAATATGAACCGGTTGCCAAACATCTGGATTTTGAATCCTGGGGATGCTGGAAAGGTCGTAACTGTGAAAAAAAAAACCGGTCGTAAATCCCTTTTTCCCAGTGCCGTTGTAACTTCGAACAAACTGTTGTAAATCGAGGATGATGTTATTATCCTCCGCTGTGCTAAAAGGAGTGCTTTTTTCTCTTCTTCCCCCCTGTCTATTCCTCCTTTTCTTTTCTTTCCTTCTTCTTTTACCCCACTCACCCTACTTTTTCACGGCTCTTTATTTCCCTCTGCATTTTATAGTTTGGCGCGCCAATAAAACATTTGCAAACCCGGAGAATCTCCCCAGACTTCTCGGTTGGGTTATGCGCGGAAAAAACAAACAAGCCCATCGGCCCAGTCTCCGAAGCGAAACCCGGGTTTCAAAGGAACGCCGTGCAGGCTGTAACTGGTGGAGGCTATCAGCTTGTACGATCTCTTCCGGCCATCCTCAGTTCCTCCTTATTCCTTCCTTGACAAGAAAAGTGGGTTGCGAAGTTGCGAAGTTGCGTATTGAACGAGGAAGGGATGACAACATTCTCTTGGGCAACGTTGTGTGTGTGTGTGTGTGTGTCTGGTGTTGTTTTTGCCCAAGGAGAAGTTGTGGGATGCCGCGAATCGTTCGACGGAAAGCCGGGGCCGATCCTACGTGCCTGGGGTTCGGATAGACTGCCCCTGACTACGGAGGCTCTGCGGCAGTTGGTGGGGTTTCTACCGGTTCGTTCTGGTTCGGGAGGCTCTGCCCACCTGCCTGGATGTCATCACGGACGCTCGTGCTCACCGTTCTGAATCGGTAGCAAAGGTAAGTGAAAGCCACTTCTGCTCTGCGGCTAGAGTGCCGCACGATTTAGGAATAGAATCCGGCTGGGAAGGGGACCTTGGAGGTCTTCTAGTCCAGCCCTCTGCTCAAGCAGGAGAAGCTATATATACCATTTCGAACAAGTGACCGTCAGGTCTCTTCCTTGAAACCTCCAGTGTTGGAGCAACCACAACTTCTGAATCTGAATTAAAATCTGAATTAAAGCCGGACACTTGCCAATTTTTTTTTTCAGCCGGGAACCGAACGGAGGCGTGGCGATGCTTATTATTATTATTTTTATCATTAACAAATTTTGGGAGGCCACCCAGCTTGTGGTTCAAGGTGAGTTGGAGCCAGTATGGGCAGTCCTTGACTTACGACAATGTGTTTAAGGACCATTTGGAATTACGACAGCGCTCTGGAAAGGGACTTACGATCCTCACACTTACGACTGTCACAATGCAGATCCCCACAGAAAAGCAAAGCCAGTAGAGGCAGTCCTCGATTTGTGATGATCCATTTAACGACCATTTGGAATTACGACAGTGCTCTGGAAAGGGACTTACGATCCTCACACTTACGACTGTCACAATGTTCCCTGCAGAAAAGCAAAGCCAGTAGAGGCAGTCCTCGACTTGCGATGATGCATTTAACGACTGTTTGGAATTACGACAGTGCTCTGGAAAGGGACTTATGGTCCTCACACTTACGACCGTCACAACACAGATCCCCGCCAAAAAGTAAAGCCAGTAGAGGCAATCCTCGACTTACAATGATGCGTTTAATGATCATTTGGAAATATGACAGTGCTCTGGAAAGGGATTTACAATCCTCACACTTACGACCGTCAGAACGTCCCCGCAGAAAGGGACTTACGATCCTCTCATTTGCGACTGTCACCACGTTCCCTGCAGAAAAACAAAGCCAGTAGAGGCAGTCCTCGACCAACTGCAGTGATTCGCTTAACAACGGTGGCAGGAAAGGTCGCAAAACGGAGCAAAACCCACTTAACAAATTTCTCACTTAGCAACAGAAATTTTGAGCTCACTTTTGGTCATAAGTTGAGGACTACCTGTATAACCTTCCCATAAGCAAAGTCAACCGGGGGGGAGGGGGAATAGCGTGATTCGCTTAAGGACCACATTATTCATTTAACAACTGCAGTGAATCGCTTAACCCAGTGGTGAAATCCAAATTATTTTTACTACCGGTTCTGTGGGTTGGCTTGATGGCATGGTGTGGTTTGGTGGGCGTGGCTTGGTGTGTGTGTGTTGGCGAAGGATACTGCAAAATCTCCATTCCCTCCCCACTCCAGGGGAAGGATACTGCAAAATCTCCATTCCCTCCCCACTCCAGGGGAAAGATACTGCAAAATCCCCACTCCCTCCCCACTCCAGGGGAAAGATACTGCAAAATCCCCACTCCCTCCCCACTCCAGGGGAAGATATTGCAAAATCTC